ATTTATATATAATGAAATGGGAAATTTTCCATCTTCACTATATCGTACGATTCACTATACAGTAGGTTCACTATATCGAGCGCCGACTGTATATTCAATTTAAGAATGTTGCGCACGAATTTGAAATCTGCGTCAATTTGAAATTCACGCGCGTGAAATTCAAATTAGCCAATCAATTTTGTATCCAAAATTTGATAAATTGATTTTGACAGCCTTTTTGTAACAATTCACAAAATATTTATTTACAAATTCCGTGAAACATTGGTTATCAAATGCTGCTGTTATTATTTGTAATATTATCTATATTTGTCTTTTATCATTATCATGTATTCCTATTATAAATAGGACATCATTTTTAAGAATAAAGACAACTTGTGTTTTACAACAATTAAGCACCTGTTCGTAAAAGAACGTGCCTTACTTCATTTTAAAAAATAAATACTTGCAATTTGGTAGCAGCAGACGTTTCATAAATACACACACACATATACATATATGCACTACACTTTAATTAGCATATTGGTCGAAAAAAATTGACAAGATTAACAGATTAATTAATTAATCATTGAGAATCTTCAATTATAACTGGATCGGGAAAACTATATTGAATATCACCGCCAATACTTTAATTCGAAAAAATAGTGAAGGTGATCGTAACACTATAATTCGGTTAATAGTGAATTAAATTTCAAACCAAAAAGGAAACTCAACTGAAAAAATCACCCGTAGGGACTACTCACTAATACTAATACTTTTTCAATGTTCGTAAATCATTATCTAAACAGAAAATCCACAATCAGCTTCCGAGGTATGATCAGGCGCAACAAAGTTTTCCCGTCATATTATATTTGTAATTCTCATCATCAACCAAATCCGCCATCATTCAATGTTAGTTTTCAAAAATCCTGCTTTCAGACCTAAAAGAATAAATAATTTACGAGGAAAAAATGGATGATTGTTTTAAATAAGAGATGCGGGAAAAATTTGAAATTTTTCAAAATACTAGTGGGATGTTATATCATCGTAAAAAAAAAATATATTTTGACTGGTTGGAAAATTTTGCCGAGTTCAGCTTTGCAACACAAGAAATATCTTTATTGTCATCAAACCAAAAATTAAAAATATGAAGGCATTGACACTAATAAATAAATAAATTTTATTTATTTTATGAACCTAACATAAGGTCTTAAATTCAATGAAAAATTAGTTAATCGAGATGGTATTCATAAAACTTAGTTTTTAAAAAATATAACAAGGCTGTATTACAACAAGCTATCATATCCATTTATCAATTTAAAAAATATATCTTATTTATTATTTTGTTAAGATAAATGTATTCAATCAGTAAAGTAGCCATTTATCGTATTCCAATTAGCATTAAAATCGAAATAAGGCGATGATGAAGCTGCACAATTGTTGATAGGAAAATTATCTATTTGATTTTGTTGTATTTCCAGTTGTTGAGGCATAAAATGAGGTAAGCTTGTATTATCATTTGTGTTAAAAAAAGTAGAATGTGGATGAGGTGATGGTGATGGAACTGCACAATCGTTGTTATGAAAATTATCTATTTGATTTTGTTGTAGTTCCGGTTGTTGAGACATAAAATGAGACAAGCTTGCATTATCACTTGTGCAAAAAGAAGTAAAATGTGGATAAGGTGATGGTAATGAAACTGCACAATCGTTATTATGAAAATTATCTTTTTGATTTTGTTGTGGTTCTAGTTGTTGAAGCACAAAATGAGGAAAGTTTATATTATCATTTGTGCAAAAAAAAGTAGAATGTGGATGAAGTAATGATGATAAAGTTGCACAATCGTTATTATTTTTTTCACAATAACTAACTTTTTGATTTTGTTGTGGCTCTAGTTGTTGAAGCACAAGATGAGGAAAGCTTGTATTATTACTTGTGCAAAAAAAAGTAGGATGTGGATGAGTTGATGATGAATAAGCTACACAATCGTCATTATCTTTTTGTTTTTGTTGCAGTTCTAGTTGTTGATATGACGAACTCGTATTATTATTTGTGTAGTGACAAGTAGAAGGAAAAGAAAAAGGATTTGGATAGGGTGATGATGAAACTGCAGAATCATTATTATTGTCTATTTGTTTTTGTTGTGGCCCTGGTTGTTGAGGAATAAAAATACGATTTTTTCGATTTTCATATGTTATTTTATGTTTTTGAAAAGCTACTTTTGCTAATACTTTAAAATAAACTTTCACTTCCTTGAGTTCATTCTTCCAGGAAACACTGGCTTCCTTTGAAAGAATTCTCCCGTCCTTTTTATTCCTAGGAGATTTATGTTTTGCAATATAATTTTTACGGTATAGGAAAAAAGAGTTTGGAGATTTTGGGATACTTATAGAATTAACATTATTTGGATTAGGTAAAATAAAGTCACTGATTTGTGAATAGACTTTACAAGGAGGATTGAAAAAAAAATGAGCCTGATTTTTGTTAAGTCGTGCTTTATCAACACATGACTTTGTTTCAGGATCCATGCGTGTTGCGTAAAATATATTATATTAAATAAAGATTTTTCGTTTGATGATTTAAAACTTGCGTATTTAGGATTTTATTAAGTGTTAATAGAAACAAACTTTTCGTAAGGAAAAAAAAACATATGATTGTAAATTATTGCAAAGAAAATTTTTTTTTGAAGAAAAAAACCAAGTTTGGGGTAAACAGAAAATTCGTTATAATAGCTTAAAAGATGCTGTTAAAAATTTTTGATGGAATTATTTATATTTATACAAAAGTTCCCGCTTATATAACTGATTTATCAGGGAAAAGATATCTATCATGTTTTGTTACCATTAAATTAATAATTGACGCAGGAGAAAGAAAAGGGCCAAATAAAAAAGGCGAATGTTGTAGAAATAATCATTATGAATTAATTGGTAGAAGTTCAGAAAATTACTCATCATTTGAAAAAGATGATTTTGGGCCTCGATCACAAAAAACATTCCACTGGTGCTGATCCATTTATTTTAACGAGTACAATGCACTTTATCTTTAATTTAATATTGAATAAAGGTTTTCTAAAAAAAGTAAACAACGCTTATGCGTCATAACAATATTATCATCAATAAAGCCTTTTTGAGCATGATGGTTGGTTGATTTATTAAGAAATGTGTAATAATTTTCCATTGAGGAATTGGAGTGAAAACATGAATTTTCGGTTTCGTAGTTTTTTTTTCTACCATTCTACTGATTCGTTTTATTGATTTACAACAGAAATAAGGTAAATATCGTATTAGTCATTGAATAGCAAATTACTGAAATCAAATTAAATAATAAGCAGCAATAAAAAACTTGTTGTACAATATTACTTATGACAATGATTGATAAGGATAAAAAAAAATTTTATATCGATTCCAAGTGATTGGTGAACGTGCTATACAAACCCTATTGCGATTAATAAACTGTTGTTTTTTTTCCTAATTATCCATAAATTTGTCTTGTCATTATTTACTTGATCACAATTTTATGCGGTATAACAAGATAACACTAATTCGCAATTGTTATATATTATTCCAATGAATGGTAATTTACTGTTTTGGGTCAAAATAATATCGACGTGAATATAGAAATAATAAATGTTAAAAGGAAAAAATGTATGTATTATAGACAAAATTAAAAAAACCAAATTCATAATAGCAGTGACTTGAAATATAGAGTTTAGGACATATTGATTAATGCTCAATGAGTATTATTAGTTGGGTGCGCTTACCTTACAATCTATACTAGTAGTGTTGGTCGTAAAAACTGTCAAAGTAAAACAAATTTAAAAAGTTTGTATGTACCCAATTTAAATTTTCTAAAAAAGTAAAACAAATTTAAAAAGTTTGTATCTACCCCAATTTAAATTTTCTAAAAAAGTAAAAAAATGGTTACACTAAAATTTACAATGCTAATATAGAATTTTACCTACGCTAACTCGTCATTAATGCAGGAGCTAAAAATAGAAGTATTTAATGAAAAGCAAGTTGTCTGCTATTTCACTCATTTTACAATAAAGGTAATGATAATGATGGTGACAATAACAATAACAATAACAATAACATACTGCCATTCGGATTCGATTATTTGTTATTTCGAATTGTTCAATGACTATAATAGTGATAAAATAAACGAAAGGTGACGACAAATAGATATTAAATTAAACTAAAAAAAGTAAAATCTAGATTTAAAATCAACACAGTCGTATAATCTATTTATATGTCTTTTAATATTTATCATTCATTAAACGTGAAATTTTAACCAATATTCTTTTTCCAAATTTATTATTCTATTCGTCCATAAACAATAACAACAATTACAAACGATTGATTCATGCTGTTAAAAAATCAATATTTATTCGTAAAGCTCCGTATGCAAATAGAAAGAAAGAAAAAAGATTTGTTAATCTCTGTGTGAGTATTATCATTATTGTGAAATCAGGGTATATATATTATATTAAACATTTAATGAATGAATTAATCAATCAACACCTTATTATTTAAAGAATTTAAAATTTAAAATTTTAATTATTATTATCGGTATGCATATGATTTACAAACATAGTCGATCATATATATAAATTTTTTCATCATTAATAAGGATTTTTTTAGGTTTATTATTATTTTTTTGGTGCCACAAAAAATTTTTTTGACATTTTTAGCACTTTCTTTACTATTATTATTATTATTACTTTTCTCTCAGATCTCAATGCGAATTTCAGCTAAGTAATAATATTTTAACGGCTGTACTATTTAGAATTATAAATTTAGATATAACACTAAACAAAAATCGAAATAACTTTTAAACTATATGTCATGGTTAGGATTTGCATTTTGATGCTCTTTAAGCGTACAGAGCTTTTTTACAATTTTATTTGCATAAAATTTTAATTTATACATAACTTTCCTTTTTTCTTTTAGCTTAAAATAAGTGATATAATTTATATTAAAATTAAAAAAACTCTCTATAGGGGCAATTTCTCTACCCTTCTAAGATATTTTAAACTTAATTTGGAATGTGTATCTTTGTTCTTTAAAGAGTTATTTTCGTTCAAAGTTTACTATTAAAAAAAAGATCGACGAAAAGTCCTTCTTAATAAAAATTTATATATGATATTGCATGTACTGTACTACCACAATGAAGTGGAAAATTCGATTTTTTTTTTTTGAATTAAATTTATTATGACCATTATGACTATTATTATTATTATCTTCTATTTTTTGTAGCAGTTCTGGTTGTTCAACAATAAAAATATATTCTTTTGGTAGTCGATTATCTGAACCTCTGCCTTTTTTATCATAAATTAATTTATGTTTTTCACGAGCCAGTTTTGTTAACCTTTTGTAATAATTTTTTACTTCGTTCGATTCATTATTCCAGGCATCACCGGCTTCCTTTGAAAGAATTTTCCAATCCTTATTACGCCCAGTAGATTTATGTTTTGCAGCATAATTTTTACGGTATAGAATAAAAGCATTTTGAGGTTTCGGGATTGTTCTAAAGTCGAGATTATTAGGACTAGGTGAAATAAATTCTGTGAATTGTGAAGGATTAAAATGAAGGTCATAATTCATATGTGCTGCGTAAAGTATATTATTGCTTTTATAATAAATTTTTCTTTGTTAAAACTTGCGATATTTATGATTATTATTAATATTAATTATTTAAAAAGAAAGAAAAATTTAATAATGTATTTATATAAATCGGTCAGTTGATCATTCCACTGTGTAACCAATTGGTTTATTTATAGCAACGAAAATGTTGTAAGCTTCCATATGGATGTACCTTTATTATTATGTTTATTAAAGTTTAGCGAAGAGACAACTAATTTCCAAACAAGATTTCTATTTATATTAATAACCTCCCCTAATTTTTTTTTGTGCCCTAAAATTTTATAGTCAAATTTGCTGTTTTTCAAAAATGGTTATTGTAACCTTTTTGAAGAAAAAAAATTTAAAAGATAATAATTCTTTATAAGATACTTCTTTATGCAATTCCTCTATATTGAGGCTGCTTGTGATGGTACATTTGAAAAATCAACTGCAACTAGTATTAAATTGTTTTTACCCAAGTAAACACTAACTATAATACGTGATAGAGAGGAATTACTATGGAAGTTTGGAATCTCATAATCAGAACAATTTCAAATATGTATAACGGAACCGAGAAATAACGATTATACATCATTCATTACACAGTATGCTTAAAATAATTTCGATGTGAATGTGTGGAATTAATAATAGCAATATTGTAAAATATTAATTTAGGAAAAAGAAAAAAAGAAAAGTAGGGAGTAGTGAGCGTTGTTTTGTTTTTTAGAACTAAAAGAAAAAAAATATTATAAACAAACTTTTTTGAAAATCAAAAGAAATTATTATTTGGCTAAAAATTTATCAGACCAGCTATAATCTTTATGGTATACACACTTACTAAGCAAAATTTAACCCCATTCACACCCTGATTGATACCGTAAAGTTCCAAAAGATAGTATCTAGTGACATTTTTTTTTAGTATGGTTTGTTATATCAATCGTCACGATTTTATAGAAAATTGTTATTTGTCACGAATGCTATTTTTGGAACTTTACGGTAATTTACAACGATCATAAATTTAAAGTTCAGAGATTAACAATGAGATTAAAATGTGAAAAACTCTTTTTTTTCTTTGCATATGGAGCTTTTTAGCACGTGAATAAATCAACAGCATGAATCAATCGTTTTGTGATATTGTTGATGAATGGATGAAGTTAGGAATAGTGAAAGAGGAATATTAATAATGGTATTAATATATATAAAATAGGCATTGGCTATTGATCGCAAGAAACAAATAGTATTATTAATTCTAATAATAGCGATCGGCTACAAATTAGTATAATAACATTAAAAAAAAAAGGCCAGCTTTGTTCAGATGACTCACATATAAGTAGACCATGGAAGCTTATCATTTTATTTCAATAATAATAATAAAACTTCAAAAATTCATAGAATTTAAACTTCTTTGGTATTATTTACAAATATTTGTGCCTTTTGTAGTAAGTCATAAAAAAGCAGTACTTTATGGGTTTATTCATAGTGATGTTAGTCGATAGAAAAACCTTAGCCGGCTAAGAACTTAATAAACTCCAGTTGATGAAAATCATTTTCAGATAGTACTAGGTTTGCTGGTATTATTATTACTATTATTTGCTATTGCTATTATAATATCTCGTCTTTAATGGTACAAATTATTTGTTTTATTTGTTATGAATTTGAATATTCGAATTGCATTGAAAGTTTTATTCGAACAAACGAATAAAATGAATAATTCGAATTTAACAAATAATTCGAATAGAACGAATTGCAATAAAACGAATAATAATAATTCGAATTAAAATAGGAATTTGTATTACGAATAGAAACTCTATGACTTTTATCCTGCTATGATGTGTTGTACTTTGCTTTTGAGCAAATGTGTGATTTTTTTGTCATTCTAAGTAATGTAGGTGAACACATCTCAACTAAATGTCTATGCCATTGAATTTTGCACTAAAATTCCAGACGTAAAAAATGAATGTCAAGAGAAATTTTTTTAACCGGCTAACATCACTGTTTATTCAATCAAACTTTACAAATAACTAATATGACTCTGTATTTGTATTTTTTTATTATAAAATTACAGATCTAGTTACTATATTCTTTTAAAACTTTATTTTGACCTACGTTTTTTATATAGGATTAAATATTGCGAAAGATTTTGGTATGTTATTATTATTATTATTATTATTATTAGATCAAAACGTAGTTTAGTGAATATCTTACAATCTTTTTCCACCAATTGCTATTATAAAGTTCCCTATAGCATCCCTTATTATTGTTGCTGATAAAAAATTTCTTTGTTAGAAAAATATTTCTGATACTGCATCTATAATTGCTTTAAAATATAAAAATTATTCTACACACCATTATATTCTAATAATTTAATTTAAAACTGGATCTTTCATTTATCTAAAGATTCTTTTCCAGATTTAATTGGAATTGGAAAAATCAAAAAAATTTTAAATCAACTCCAAAATTTCATTGCCTAATAAATGCAAAATATTATATTTTTGTTATCAAAATCATGAATTCTTTGTATTAGTCACTTGGAAAAGTTGATCAATTTTCTTCTTCCACATTCTCATTAATGTAGATGCCAGGAAAATTATCAAGAAAATCATAAGAATATTTTGGTGTGTTATCAAATTTTTTGTTAAAAGTATTGTCAACAGATACATCATTGGTTGTGAATTCAGCAGATACATTGTTGAAAGTCCATCAATACTATCTTTTGTAATGTTAATATCTGTTTGTGTTTTTTCTTCATCATTGATTCGTTCAAATCAACCAAATTAATATTATTGCTATCATAATGTAATTACAATTTATATGTTTTTTTGTGCTTGTTATATAGAAAGTTTTTGGAGCAGGGATTACAGGGATTACAGGAATACTCTTTTATTTTTATTTTTTTAACTTTTTTCTTTTGCTAAAAATATTACGACCAGAAAAAAGAAAATACCCTTTGAGAAATTCATCAATAAAAAATTCAAAAGTGTGCTGAATGAATTTACTAAAGTTAACACTAATCATAATATCACTACTAAGCCTACTACATCAGTTCAAGAAATTATAAATAAAATTAGTCAATCTAATAGTAATAAGAAAAACAATGTGCCTAATGCCAGTAGTCCTTTTTCACTAATTAATGTATTGAACTTGGAGAAGTTGTAATTCACACTGAAAATAATAATATTAACAATAATGGTTGTATTTGATTATAAGCATTTCGATCTATCTAAAGAAAACCAATGTTAGTAACATGATAAAATGGTAAATTTTTGAAAGGTTATGGACACCAGTTCATGTTCTGTTTGAAGTTTTCCATATTTCTGGACAAAATTGGTAATTGACTTGAAAATAATCTCACTGCGTGTTCCCTTTCTAAAATATATAGAAAAAATTAAATTAATGATTTAAAACAATGGGAAAAATAATAGTAGTCACATATAATAATAACAATTCTTTCTAATCGTACACCACCAGATCTGAAAAAAGCAATTAATAATAATATGGTTGCGTAATAATTCTTTCTGATTCCGTTTAATCATCAACCTTTAGAAAAAGAAATCATGTAAATACCTTTTAATTTGATTATTACATTCCTAAATATATATAAAAAAATTAATTAATAATAATAAAATAGATACAAAAGTAAATATTGAAAAAAAAATATTACTATTGCTGTCTTTAGTATACTTGTGAATCTCTCTAAAACCAATTAACCAACACTAGACGAGGCCTATAAAGCTTGGAAAGCAAGTTTTGTAAACTATACTTGATAATTGTTTTATCTAGTTGTATAATAGATGGTTTTGATTATGATTCTTATTTGAAAATGCCATGTAAATATTTAAAATTCAAAAAAAAAGCAATAGTTTGCTAAGTACTTGATCGAATTGAGTGATCTTAGATTCAAAAGAAACCCGAATTTTATTGCACATCATATCCAAAACTTTTTTATAGTTAATATGTTAATGTGTGGTAATGTTATTTAATATTGATTTTAAATCACAATTCGTTGTCGCATTTTAATAATTTCTTTCTACTTTTTTTAATAATTGGTATATTATTGTTGCTTGTCCATATTATCTAATTATTTTTAAACGTTATTATTTATGTAGGAATAAAATATATTTAATTTTAAAATAAATTATTTGACTATAAAAAGACACACCTAAGTGAACAAAACTGTATAAATATTCATAACAATATAACCATTTACATTTGACTTTGAGGGTAAGATTATTTTAGATCTTATTAATAACCTGTTTTAAAAATTTTCCTAAAGCAGATACATATGATAAAGAAGTTATATATCAAATTTGGTGATGGTTTCTACACAGCAAGGATATCAAAAGAGGGTGTGAAGACATTCGATTATAATAATGTTTTACAACTTTCTATGCGACTAGTTAATTAATTATTATCATAATAAGGGCTCCAGATATTACATAAATAGGTTACTTTTTTTTGGGGGTAAATCAACATGTAAAATTTTGAAAGATTGGATGGATGATCTCACTGTATGGATCTGTGTGCTGTTGATGAGTTAGTCTATCTATGTTAGGGATCCTCGCAATTGGCAATAAGATTTTGGGTAAATTCATTAGTAAATTTTGAAAAAAGTCCTTTATAGTATTTTCTGTATTAGTATTATTATGACTAAAACATACTAATAATAATAACAAATAAAATGTTTTGTAAAAAAAATATCCATTTTTATTTGCGAGTTTAATAATATTACAGAACTATAAAATCCTATTCTCACATTCATTTTAATTACACATTCACAAATGTCCCTATATTTATATAAATGATATCATGGAAAAAATCCGAATTGCTTACTCAACTGGTTGCTGTTTTATGAAATAAACTGGACATGTACAGAGCGATAAACATAATCACGGAGATATAATGGAAATATTCTGGAGTGTCATTTTTTAAAGGTTGAATAAAATTTTCAATTCGAATAAATTCTCAATTTGAATAAAATTTTC